TCATCGGGCTTTCTGGTATTGGTTAGGTCTTCAATCGGGGGCAGTTGTTTAACATCTCCCGCACCTATGATAATCTTATCGGGGTTATGTCTTACAAACTCTCGTATTCTATTTAGGATGTATAAACTATTCATATAAATCTCATCAAACACTATACAGTTAAATTTACTATGGTCAAACTCTGGCAGTTTCTCATTTCTTCCCGTCGCCGACAGGAATAGCAAAGAACTTATTCGTAGTGATTGCTTCATCATCTATATTTTGCGATAAGCTGTTCTGGGGGACTACAAACAATGTTTTATAACCTAACTTGCTGAAATGCTTCGCTATATGCGATTTACCCCCGCCAGCGTATTTACTTCTCATAATAAGTGGGCTCTTTTGAGTTATTTGTGTTGCTATGCTTTCGGTGTCCCACTCGTCTTTAATTTCTAGTGTTTCATTGGTATATTCTGGTATTTTTGTTAAGGTAGTTTTCTTCATTTTGTGTTTTTCTGTCGGTGGGATTATTGATTTACCTTGTTCGTGTCTCCATCCTCCGATGTTACCGTTAAATGTTATTGCTTTCTTCGCCTTGGTTAAGTGCTCGTGTCTAATTACAAAGGCATCTGTTTTAACACTCCATACATCAACACCATTATTTATTATCTATTATAATCCTCTTGTAATTTTATGGTTATGGATTTGTAGAAGTAACTCCTTTATGTAAGTATATCCGTTTCTTAACGCCACTCTATCGGTCACTGTTAAGCAGCAATATTTTCTGTCCAATTCCTTGTCGTCTTCGTCGTATCCGGTGATTTTATTAATTTTTCCTCCCACTTCTTGTTGATAATACAATGCCTCCCTTAAGCTGTCAAAGGCAAAGCTTTTTGAAGATTTGTTCGTTCCCTTCTCTAGCAATCCGAAATTTACATTTGCTATAAGCTTTTTGATTTTAGCATCTTCTGGGAAGTGGTCTGATATTTCGGTTGCCCATAACTGTTTAATAAGCTTTGTGTAATTCACCTTATACACTCTAGAAGGCTCTTTATAATGTAGGATTTCGCATTTGTCGGCGTAGTGCTTTAGAAACTTACCATAGACTAAACAGCGTGTCTTATTGAAAAATAACGCTTGTTCTTTAGGTTTAACTAAAAACAACGTCAGTTCGTGAAACTTACTGTAATCGTGGGCTTTGTAATTGAAATGCTTCCATATATCAAACTGATTAAAGACGGGAATCTCGGTAATTTGGTTGAAGGCGTGGGTGTAAGCTTTTCTTACATCTATTTCGGTGGTGGTTTCAGGCATAAACCCGTATTTGTCGTATTTCTCGGTTCTTTGGTTAAACACCTTGTAAAATTTATTTATTTCTCCCACCGGCGGGATTGTTCGGCACTCCTTAAGAATTTGTATATCGGTTTCGTTGTAATAGGATTTATGTAAGGGATTAAATAATGCCTTGTTGAATTCATACATTGCTTTAGACATGTTGTTATAAATCTGCTCAGTCCTTACCGTTATAGTTCCATCAACGGAGCTGGTCACTAGATTTTGGGTTTTAATCCTGTATCTTATGCTCTTCTTTTTTATTTAAAACTTGAAATACAAATCAGAAACGATACAACCAGTAAATCTCACTTGTGGCTCATACCCTGCCATCTTGCTTTCATAAAACAAATGGGTTAAATCGTTACCATCATAAATTAAGGTGTATTCATCTTTCTCCCTGAATTTCTTAAGGTCATTTAAGGACTGTATCATTTTACATTCGGTGGGTTCGTCTTTCTCGTTAATATGATAATCTGGGGAAGCCTTAACCGATACATCTTGATTCTCGCGGATGGCCACCATTTGTCGTAACATTTGTAGGTTGTCGTTTGCTGTGTAGATATGATTATTTTTCACAAGGGCGTATAATGTTGGTATATGGTGGTTGTATTTAGTTGGTGAGTATTTGAAAATCGGCTTTATGAAGGAGTTAAATATCCTTACTTGAATGCCGTAGTGTTCAAACACCGGCACCATATCCTGTATTGATGCCCCGTTCGTTTTGAAATCCTCTTCGGTCTTATTCATCAGTTTTAACATACTTTTTTTTGTTAATCTGTTCTTCTCCCTGCGCTTCTCGCCCATTAGTGTATCCTTATACCAATCGGTTATGGTGTTAAACCAGCACTCGTTTTCTTTGTAATGCTTTACATTTATCGCTTCCTTAAAGGTTTCAAACTCGGGGTCTAAAGGCGTTTGAATGTAGATGTTATACATACTTAAAGTAGCAGTATTCATTAATTTCTCCTGTTCTGGCTTGAAGTCTGTATCACCATCCACCCGTTCAAGGCTCTTAATTTGAATACATTCCATATACTGCTCTGTGTGAAACAAATCGTCTTCTAAAACTGGGTCTGTGTTGAAGGTATCCATTAACTTTTTAAAGATGTTTTTCGTTTCTTTCTCGTATCTAAAAATACGCTTTCCCACCAAGTCCTCTATGTATCTGGTGGATGTTACATTTGCGCTTTTAGGTTCTTTCCAAAAATAAATTAAAGGTCGGCCTTTGTGGTCTTTGAAAGCGGTTTTAATAGCGTTGTCTTTTTCTAACTTCAAATTATAAAACATTACATCTATAGAGTAGATGATGGTGCTATTTCGTCTTTTGTTTTCCTTCTTTGCTTCCCGCATTCGTTGCCCGAGTGGTTCTTTGTCGTGGTGTTTGTCGTGGATTTTGTCGTATGCTGTGTTAGCTTTTGTCTTTTGTTTGTCGGTTTTTGCGGTTATAAACTGTCTGATTAAATTCTCCGCGGTGGTGAATTGCGCTATTTTACGGTCTTCATAAAAATTAATTAGATTTTGAATTTTTTCTCTGGTGCCTTGTGTTAAACGATTTTTGTAGTTGTCGTAGGTTGTTTGTAGTGCTCTCGTGTTACGCTTAATATTTTTGCTCATATACAATATAATTACAATATAAATTAAATTTCTTTTTAAATACTTTTTCTAAAGATTTTCGTAATATATTTAGAAACTTATTTAAAGAAACAGTATAAATATATAGTATAGTTATATGACACATTTCAAAAGTCCCGAGGATATGACAATGGACGAGATTAAGCAACAACTGGCATTATATCAAAGGCTGTATTATAACAAGAGGAAAGAAGACGAGCAATTTATGCTGAAGAAGCGCGAAGCAAGTTTAAGACACAACCAAAAAAAGAAACTTAAGGAATACATAACGGAGAATAGTTTAAGTGAAGAAGATTTGACTCCCCGGCAAATTAACGAAATCATTACGGATAAGAAACCTAGCGGAAAGAAACGCGGAGCTCCCAAATACGATATGAACGATTACAAAGTGATTATGCCTAATGCCGTTTAAAATGATGATTTAATTAATTATATTAAATCATTATTTTTTGTTACTTATTTATATGAGCGAGAAGCAGAAAATTATTAATGATGTATATTTTGATAGAGCCGGTTATGGTTCAAAACAAAGGACATTAAGCGAAGCACGGGAGAAAGACAAAACCATAACAATGGGAGCTATTGAAAGCCGGTAGGTCAAAACAGTTTTATCGCCCCGCATTCCGCATACGAGTATCAAATGGATTTGTTTTTTATAAACGATTTGGATGAACAAAAGTTTAGGGTAGGAGTTTTGATGATTGATGTATTTGATAAATTTATGTATGTAGTGCCGATAAAAAGCAAACAAGAAGGAGATGTAGCGAGTGGAATGATTGAATGTTTAAACAAGATGGGTAAGAAACCCGAAATAATTTATACAGACGATGAGGGAGCATTGAACAAGGAGGCAATACAAAAGTATTTGAAGGATGAGAACATAGAACATCATAGAACGAGGGCGCACCCAAATTTTAGCGAAAGAGCCATCCGAACTTTTAAAGATATGTTGTATAGGAGAGTTGAAGCAGATGAGAAAAAGGGAAAACAAAACATCCAATGGCCAGACTACATATTAGAAATATTATTAACCTATAACAATCAAATGAAGCACTCGGCAACAGGGTTTACACCAAAGGAAGCCCGAAAGCCCAATAACCAATTCAAAGTGAAAACGAATTTAACGATGAGGGGGAAAAAGAACCGCGTTTATCCCGAACTAGATGTAGGGGACGAGGTTAAGATATTTAGGAAGCGAAAACCGAATGAAAAAGAAAGAGTGAGCAACTGGTCACAGAATATTTATACAATAGAAAATGTTGAAAACAAATTAGGGCAAAGTTATTATAAAGTTGAGGGCAATGATAGGCAGCATTTGCGATTTGAGTTGCTAAAGGCTTGAACATGTAGACAAGGAAATCCGAATGCAGTTATTACATCTCACCTCGAACTCGGCATCACATAGAAAATCGACCATGCAGCTGTAGTCAATTCCCCAATGACAAAATACCAACAAGTAGTTTGCAATTTATGCCGTCAAAACTCCATTATTCTGGTGGGTCACAGAAAATTCAACTTCATAGAGAGAGCTGAAATCAAACTCGGACAGAAACTCATGTAGAGGGTAATGATGGGCAGCTGCGGTTTGAAATGTGAAAAATGGCTTGCCCAACCTTCCCAGACCCACAAGCGGCCCTTCTTGTCGAAACACAAATTCAAACCCGGTGAGCAAAATCCACTCGGAATCCATGGTACTTCTACCGCGAGCAAAAAAACCCACGCGGAATACTTGTAGCTTCTGCCTCAACTGCCGGGCAAATCCACACGGAATGCTGTTTAGCTCTGTTCGGACCACTGCACACATTTTCACGTGGAGCACTCGGAGAGTATGCCCCGACCGCCCGAAACCCTCCTCGCACAACGCTGTTTCATCGTGTCGCTTGTAGCCAAATAGTATGTGGCTGTAGTTGGCCCTGCTGGTGTCTCTTTGCTTTTGCTATCCATGCGCTTTGCATCTCTCTCCAGTGCTTCATTGCACGCGCACTTTTGACTTTAGACATGTTCCTAGGTTTTACAGAAGCCTCGCGCACGGACCTCTTTCAATGCACATTCGGTCAGTCTTGCTCGCAGTCTGGGGGGTCGATGCTTCCTGCACCTTCCCCCTGGCTGACAAAGAACGCTTCTAGCTTTGCCTGCAAAGAAGGGCAATCTTCAAACTTCTCCGGAGCGGCACATGGGTCTGGCAAGTCCTGGCTGACCTTGTGCGCAGCATTTGCTCTTAAGAAGAGACTTCGCAAGAAGATTGTACGGACATTGAAACAAAAGTTATGCAACGCACTGAGCTGTACAGCACAAGGATACTGCTGCGATTGCATTGCTTCCTCAGAACACAATTGAACCCACTGAGCATGCCTGTTCACGTGGCATTGCAGGTACTGGTCTTGTATGCGTTGCGCGACCAGCATGCGCAGCTGCAATTGCGGTCCTTGGCTGGATTCAGGCATAAATGAGATTAAGCCCCTGCCATACAGCTCTTCGATGTGATCCAGCAATGGCAGACCATTACGCGCATCATCTCGGTCCATCTGCAGCTCAGAGAACATTGATGTCTCGCAGTGCGGGAGAATATGGTCTGCGATCGTCGGGGTAAACCCGGAGCGCTGGGCCGTCAATGGAAATCTCTGGCTCAAAACGATGCACTGGTTCATGGCCACATAGCGAGACTGGTAGCAGTAGACCGCATTTCTGAAGTCAGGATCGCGATCATGCGTAGTGCTCAGTCTGGGAGTCATCATCACACGAAATGCAGCCTGGGATATTTCCGTCGCCTTCTGGGCGGCATTGATAAGGGCTTTCTGGCCGTCGGCAAGGGCTTTCTGCCCAACGACAAGCTCAGCAAGCTGCTGCGAAACTGCATCTTTGTCTGAATCCTCAGTATTTTTAATTATGTGAAATTCTATCATATGCCCAAAAGCCAACGTACGCAAACGTGGAACGCAGCAAGGAACAAACACCTGGCACGCTACCTACCAAGTCGGGCTGTGCTTGCAGGGGACCTCGGGGACCTCAAGCAAAAGTCAGGCTACAAATAGCTTCTATTCAGGCTCTGGCGCTGCTTTGGGTTCAACGTGGTGAAGGAAGAGTGGTGCTTCGCGTGTACCACGCAGAATAACGTCAACTGAAATTGTATCATCTATCGGCTCTGAGCGGCTTGCATCTGTGAACAGTGACAATCTGTCGATCCCGATGGTCAATGACATGTGTTGCTTCGCGGCTTTCAAGATACTCATGGCATCTTTGGGTTCTTCCAGCTCATCGATCGATATGCGGATGGCCTTTTGCCCATGCTGATGCACCCACACCTCGTCTCGGCGGCGCGGGGACCGGGACCGATCAGCACACATGGCCGGTTCAAAAACACAGCACTAGAAGTTGAGCGAACCATGTAGTCTTGAAGTTGACTTGCCTGAGCGCTGCTTCTGACTTCCAAGAAGGCTCCTGTCACGCTTACAGGATGACCTTGAGGGTGGACCAAACAGTTCGGTGAACATGCTTAGGTGCTACGACGACATTTTGCAGGTATTCTGATTGTAGTTACTACCTACTTATACCTAAACCTTATTCCTATCATAGATATATTATTGGAATAGACCATTTCCATTTCCGCAGGTTAGGGGTATTAGGGTTGGGAATATGGGTTTTTTCTATGGGAGTGCGGGTGTATGAGGTTGAAGGTGGGGATTTTCTATGTGGTGGTGTATGGTTCTTCTGGTGGTTCCATCTTGTGGGTATTTGGGTTGCGTTTTTTGGTGAGTTTAGGGTTGAGGTATAGGTTGTTGTGGTTTTGGGTCTTCGGGCGGGTCTTTCCTAGGGTTCTACCTATGGGTCTTGGGTGGGTTTAGGGTTGAGGTATAGGTTGTTATGATTTGGTTGCCAGGGGGTGGGGCATGGTTAGAAAATGGAAATGGTAGTTGCTAACTAATACACCCTAAGCCCTAGGCCCTAGGCCGTAAACACACAAGAACCTTGACTACGACAGTAATTGTAAACTCGAGTTAAGACCTTGCCGACTGTAGATCATACATCAAACCCTAAACCCTGCAAGCCCCGAAGCAGCTGAAGACAGGCAAATTGACCCAAAAGTCTCAGCGCTCTCCGGCCTTGGCTCGGGCTAAACCTCTCCGGCGTCTCCAGACCCGGCTCCTCCTGCGACGGCTTCGGGCTTCGGGCTGCGGGTCTCGCGGCGGAGCATCCTCCAACCGCAGCTGTTGGCTTGGACAAGTAGTCAATAAAATACATAAACAGTTAAAGCTACAAAGCCCTTCTAACAAAAAATAAGCATTGATTTTATCGGATTTTAAGTGACTTAGGGCTATCAAGCAGCAGGGCAGAGTTGCGACTCCTGCTGCGACTCTTACGACTGAACACGGGTCGTGCAAACAACAAGGCCTGCCAAGCGACAGACCTGCTGTTGGCCCCGTTTTTGTCGTTGTTGTTGCTGCTTCGCGGGCCTTATCGTCTGCAGAGTTTAGTAGTGCTAAACATATCATTATATAGCAGTCGTAGTAGTCTTCATTCACTGTTATTATATTAACTGTTATGATGTATTGTAAGCTTTCACAGCAATCACGTCTTGAATATCAGGTCGGCTTTCAAGAGGGCCACATTCCACACAAAATGGTCAAGGCTTGCAGTTTTTTTTGCGCCTGCAGCTTTTTCGCCGTTATGGACTGGGGAAAGGGCTGCTGGAAAGTGGCTTGGGCTCAAAGTTGTCAGAAGGCTTTGGCGACTGGGCTCCTCTGGCTCTCGCGGAAAGGACAGGACCTTCCGGGTGTGGTTGGGAGTTGTGGACTCTCACTTTCGGACAAGTTTTTTCCCTCTCGCATGGCTGGCATCTATGTCCACAGGCGAGGTATTAGAGGAAAGCAACGGTGCTTGCATTAGCTCCTTTCCGGATAGCTCTGCATTCGTTGTTGCTCATTTTAAATGAGCTTTGATCTGCCCAAGACATATCAAGATTTTTGACGGTCACCAAAGTGCAAGTGAGGGTTTGTACTTGAGCGCTTGGGGCTTTCGGCAAGGGTTTTTCTCTTAGAGTCGGTTCGCTCCTGGACAGGCGAGAGCCCCTGCTTGAGGATCGCTTGAGGTAGCTGAAGGTCCACCCGATCGTCCTGCCAAGATGGCAGAGCCGAGCAGGCTAAACGCGTGCTTTGAGAATCATAAAGCAAGAAAAGCAAGAACAACTATAGCAATCATGATATGGAAAACTATGCTATACGAGAAAGCAAACTTGGCATGAGAGCAACAAAGGCCGCGGCGGAGATGAGTGTCTGATGCGCGACGACCTTCTCCAGTTGGGGTCGCGACTCCGGCACCTCGGACGCTCGCGCCTCAAACTCCTCTCAGGATAAACTCCCAACATTGGATTCGGATCGCTGTCGGCTGTCGGGGCCGCGGCTGCTTCGCAGCAGCATCTGCCACATAACGCGAAATGCTGCAATGCTCCATGTCCAAGGACAAGCAGACAGACAAATCTCCGAAGCTCCGCCGCCTGCAGAACATCGGCTCAGGATGCCGCGCTTTTTGGCGCTTTTTGCCGCCACATGGCTCGATGGCTCGAGAAGCAGCGCGGAAGTTCTCCGGTCTGCCCGATGAGGTCGCTTTCAGGGGATGAAACGGGAGAGCCGCTTTTGGCTTGCTTGGACGTTTTGGGGAGTTTCTGGGTGAGGGCTTGGAGCTTGGGGTTCAGACTTTCTTTGGGGCTTCGGAAGCTGTCTTTGCCTTCGAGACCCTCTCGAGGTCCTCATGTTCTTCGACGAAGCTCGCGGCGCCGGAGCGGGCAAGAGCTTGACATGTCCAGGCAGCATCTTTGCACCAACAAGAGGATCAGCAGAACATGCGACATTTAGGATTACACTGCCGGTGTGCAAGAAGGAACTACCACCCGAGAAACCCCAGTCAGCTCGACCTCCTCTGCGCCCTGGAACACGGCCATGACGATGCTACCGGCTGCCTGGATCGTCTACTTGGGGGTTTCGGGATCAGATGTGCGTCTAAGATCAGCAAGCTCCTGACATCTCTCTCCCTCGCTCTCTGACAGCTGCGCCCCCCGATTTTGCCACGCGGCACGGCTTCAGCAACAAGTTAGACTCCATCGCTCGCTCACGTGCCGAAAACGACCCAAACGACCCCTTGAAGGTCAAGGGGGGGCACCATTAAATGAAGCTTCTGAAGCCTTGTTCCGAAGCTGCGACGCATCTTAGCGCGGCAGGGCAGCAGGGTGTCTGAAACGTGAGAGGCTCAGCCTAGGCCGAGAGGCTGCCATGAAAGGCGCCTCCGCCTCTCTCAACTCGCCGGCCTGGGACGTCTCACAAAAGGCAGATCATGATGAAGCACACTACTTGCTAGTAATATGTGGCAGCATTCATTTATCGTAGGAATGCCGGAAGTGGTAAGGGTAATCCGACCCTGGTAGTGCCAGGTGGCTATCAAAAATGAAGCCCCCCCCAGCCCTTTGCAACAGGCTGAATAAGCCTCCTCTCCCAACACTGAATCTGAGAACATTTCATTGAGTAGGGGCTGCCACGCACTAAGCCCTGAATCCCTTCTGAATCCTAAACGCTCCAAGCCCTTGACCAGCCCTTGACTCTGCACTTCCCATCCTCTACAAACCATCCCTAAGCCCTACAAACCCAGCGTGAGTTTTGGAAGTAAACCGCAGGTCTCTTGGCCCAAGGGGCTTGGCCGGCGGGCTGAAGCCAAGAGGATCCTGGAATCGCGTTGCCATAGCTTCCAGACGACCTTGTTGGGCGAAAGGTGCGGTATGTCCCGCTGAGGGGGCAAGCTTGGAGCAACGGAGCATGGCAGTGACACCATACTTTGACTCTCATAGCTGATAGCTGCCAAGCTGCTCTGGAAGTCGGGCACGTGCTTCAGGTGGTCAGAGGGGACTCGACTGACCAGCCCTGCAGCGGGGCGTCGGGCTTCACGCTTCGCCCTTGTGTCTCTCTTGAAGCTGATGCCCCCCCGGCCCCCGCCTGTGGCATCGTTGGCGGGGCCAGGGAGGCGTTTTGTCAACAAGGCCCCCAAGAAGAGCGGCCAGGCTTGGGGGCAAAGCACAGCAATCTCGGTACTTTCCGAGGCCCAAGCCCAGACAGAGGTCACCCTCTCCTGGCTCTCTGAGACTGCCTCTCCTGCCTTCAGGAGGAGAGCTGCTTCTTGCTTCGGCTCACCGTCGCTGGGCCCTTCTTCCCCAACGACGCAGAGGATCTCCAGGCGGGCGTCGAAGAGGCAAAGCTTCTTCACTTCCTGCCTGCGCACAAAAACGCAGGAGCTTGAGAACTCCGGACAGGACCCAATCAAAATCCTCAAACAAACCAAAAAAAACCGCCTAAACCCTCAAACTCCCCAAACTGCCCGGGCTCGGCTCCTTTCGTTCTCAGGCAGCTCTGCGAGGAAGGCCAGGAGCGGCTCCGCGGCTCGCTGGCCCAGGGCCCTTGCGAAGACCTCCCGGGCCGCACCTGAAGACTCTCACAATTAGAAACATATTCTCTATTTTAGATGTTGATATCCAACTAATCTTTGAATGAAATCTCAGTCTCAGTCTCCGGACAGGAGGCGGTCGTTGGGGACTGAAACTTCTGGCGTATGTTTTTTTGGGTGTGTAATTATGTCCTCCTGTCCTAACCATGCTTTCGCATCGCAGTACAAACAAGTTCTTGGAGCCGTCCCCCTGGAAAGCCCTTGAGCCTTGAACCGTTACGTACCCACTGCTTCGCTTTTGTTATAAGGAAGTTCTGGTGACCCGGGTCGCCCGCCTGCGGCTTCTGGTGGGAGCGACGTCTCCACTTCCTTGCCCGCATCCAAGCAGGAGGAGAGCGTGTAGTTCGCGGCCTGAGCAGAGTCTGCGACAGCTGAGCTGAGACTCAGCAGCCCAGCACAGCGCCCGCGCGTGCCGGGCCTTCTCCTCGCGCTCCTGGCCCGCAGCCCCAGCAAGGTGCTCCAGCTGCTCTTTGAGCTCCTCAGGTCTACCAAAGCAACGCAAGAATTGCAAGACAAGATCTCACTGTGGCAGCATCGGCAGCCGTCGGCCGAGGCGAGGCACGGCCTTGGAGCGGAGCGCCGCGTGGATCTCCATCGCTTTGAAGCGCAGCTCTGCCGTGGAAAGCTCGGCCGGGGCTTCCTCAACAAACAAGGAGCGGACAAGAAAGGCCGCAAGACAGCACTGCCTACAACGTATGATAATTCGCGTCAGAGGAAATTTCAGAAGAGGTCCTCGGGAAGGGCCACCACGGCCACCACGGAGAAGGTGGAGCCCGTGCATGCACAAAGCAAGAAAGTGCTGAAAGACACCTGCAAAGGAAAACACAGAGCTGCAAGTCTCCACGGGGGCAGAAGTCTTCCA